CTCCCCAAACACAGGTGTGCCAAGCTTGTAGCATCATACCCAAGAATACTTGAGGCTGTAATCGCTGCCAAAGGTGCTTCAAGAAAGTACTGAGTAAAGGGTCTGAATACTTCTGTAAATGTGATATTTCCATGTTTTATTTTTAATAAATTAGCAAAAAAACAGTTTTTGCTTTTTCATTATGGGGAAACGTGTAGTACACACAGTTGATTGATAAAAAAATATATATACATATATATACATATACATATATATATATACATATATATATATTTTTTTTTTAGAATAAGGCTGTAACCTAACACAATGTGGAAAAAGTCAAGGGGTCTGAATAATATCCGAAGGCACTGTATATATATATATTTAGGGTTAGACGGCATTGCAATATCCTTTTCCCTTTTTTTGTGAACAAATGTACATTTTCCAAACTGTGAAAGGCAGCAATATGCAACAAAGTGTCTAGTCTTCAGGAAAACCACACAAAGGAGAAGATTAAAGTCTGATTAAAGTCTGCTGACAAGTCTTTGTAAATGCTTATATAAGAACATGTGACAATAAAGAGTTGTAAATAATATTGTAATGCCCTTAACCTAACATAACTAAAAATACTTTATGAGGTGTTATTGCCTAACACTAAAAGTGTTAATTCCCTAACACTGACAAAGTGTAACAGCGTCAGCACTAACCGCAGTGTTAATTTAACACTGCAACGTTTGGACCCATATACATATTGGCGTAGTATTACATGTAAAACTGTCAGTGTTGATTCAACACTGGAGAATTTGCTGTGCAGAAACCCCAATGAGCCAGAGATGAGAAGTGGACAAGAAACACATCTGACAATTCAGGACCCAGGTAGATCCCATTGCCTTAGGAATGGCCCTGTTGAATGGTCCTGTTTATTTCAAAGAGTCCTCTGACTCTCAACGACTTCTGAATGGAAAGGAAATGATGGGTTAAGGTACAGGATCTGATAAAACAAACAATGGAGGGCCCTGTGCAAAACAGGTAGGATGCCAGGAGGTGTCATTTGCCATAAACCAAGCTTTATTATTGTGTAAAATAGAGTCATTACATGTAGAGTACAGACCATTAAGCTAATATCACTTAAGTAGCTGAGAAACAGATTATGGCTGACTTCAGGACAAGGAATGAACTAAAACTATTGTTAATAACAGCTATTTCCATTTTTGTACAATTTATCCTGGCATGAACTCCGAAGAGATAAGCATGGTCAATTTGTGGGAGTACACCTCAAATGCAACTCACATTGCCAGGGAATGATTGTTCACTCCATATGGAAGGATGTTAATTCTCTCTATCGTCAATAGTTATGGTCATTGCTGAACCTTTTGAGTTCCATTTTACAACTCCCTCACTGATTATCACCATCTTTAGCCAATATTCAAATAATGATATCCCTAAGTGTTTCAAACTGATTGACAGTATATCACCTCAACATGGAGAAAATCAGGTATTTGATACTGAGCTTTTGAGATCAACCCACCAGATGTGGGATACATGATAAAGCCTATATATGTCTCGACACGGGAGGACTTGGTGGGTGCCTGTGGCCATTTTCTCTCCCACCCTCTCCCCTCCTCCAGTGGGTCACACTACACGTTTCCCCGAGTGCCACTTCTCCAAAACTCAAGTTAAAGAAAATTATGGAAATTACAGAGTTGCAAAATAGATAAGTTTTGATCATCCTTAAGGCTATTTATTAACATACTTACTATGCTCAGCTATAGAATCAGTTTTGTCAGGGATAGTAGAAATGAAAGAAGGTTCAATCCTAGTTTTTCTTGTACCTTACCATTATTGCTACCAAGAGTTGCAAATTAACATTCGCCTTGTCTTTCAGTGACCACTAAGAGACAGAAGAATTCATCATAAGAGACATGATGCAGTAATTGGTGGCTAAATGTCTAAAAATGGGTAGGATGCACACCATCTTATATTCATTCTTCCCATAGGTTTTATTTATTGAGCTACCTGCTGTTACCAAATTGGAAACTACAGTAATTGTCCCTTTCCCTGTAATAGTCCATATATGTGATTGGAATTGTTTTGGAAATGTGGAGGCTGTTGAGAAGAGGACAGAGGGAATGGAATGGCATCCAACACATAGAAACCATGTGTTTGATACCATTCCACTCATTCTGCTCCAGACATTACCACGAGCCAGTCCTCCCCAATTAAGGTGCCACCAACCTCCTGTGATTTGGAAATATATTGGAACAAATTCTGTGGAAGAATTATAAAATAAAGTAGAGCCATTCAAAATTGCTTCCAATAGCACAATGACCGAGAACTGCATTTGAACCTCAGATCTCTGACAGATCATAGGAAATATGATTCTATACAACTAATCTAATATATTGATTGTAAAGATATTAGCAGACATTAGCCTACAATAATAAAGGTGCATGCACACACTAAAACAAAACATAAACAGTTGCATTTCCAGATCCCGATTGCCTTTACATTTAGAAAAGCACAAGAAGTAAATGTTCTTGTTTTTTTTCCTTCCTCTGTCTGTGGTGTGGATATTATAATGGGAGACCAATGTCTGGATCTTAACCAATACTTTGCTCAATAACTGTAGATTTTTGCATCCATCCTGTTCCCTCATGTGTGAAATGACCATCTGGTCTGGGCACTTTAAAGATCCAGGGCCACACTCCAGGGGAGCTGTCGCCTGCCCAGACACACACGTAACATAGCACCAGATTGCATACACAGGCCATTAACAGTGGGAGGAAAAGTTATTGTACTCCAGTTAGCTGCAATATTGAAGCAGTAACTGTCATTACATATATATATATATTTTTATCATAGTGAGACCCATACCACAAGATACATTGTTGCTTATGTAGAAGTTGTTTTCAAAAACAGTTGAGGAACATCAAAGATGAGAAAACATTTGTTGGGTTGCACAAGCATTCAAAACAACATTAGCATTATTCCAGGAGGTGTCTCTTAAAGGAGGGGAGTGGACACGGTCCCAGAGAGACCTCATGCAGGGTACACCCAGTGGTCGTCAGACACAGCCTAACACAGCCAGTCAGTGAGCTTAACTAGAATCTGTGTTGAACAGGACCCACAAAGGAGGGAGAATCTTGCACAAGATCTAAAACACAAATAGAGCTCACCCAGGCCAGGTTCAAATACACTCAAGCCAGGTTTGAAATTTGACCATGTCGAAACACACTTAGGCCTACTAAAAAGTGCAAGAGTTAACACTGGCGTTAACTGAAGCGTGGTAAAAACTCTAGGCAGATATATGTCAGACTTCTGCTCCTTGGCACTTTTCCCAAACACTATGAGCATAGAGAAATACTTGCACTTATATTTAGCCTAAACTGTGACAGAAATACATTTCTCCTTCCTTCTGGCTCATTTATATGTGTTAAAGTTTATTCACAACAAGACTGACATGCATCTCTATATTTGCTGATGCTGTGTTTTAAAATGAGGTATACTTGATGTCAAATCAACCTCAGTGGTTGTAGAATTACACTGTATTTAATGTTCTATACACAATTAGTTTTTATTTTTTAACAATTTATTTGCAACATAAATGAGTATTTCCTTAATATAGAGCAATTGGCACTTTTATTTTCAGCCATGTCCAAGATTTGATAGCTGTGCTGACTTGTTTGTTGAAATTATACACAGTAACTGCAGTAGAAAACTCTCTCACATGCAAATGGTTGTTTACACATGAACCATTCTATTTCCATCTTCATATGTAAATGTACACAGTGGAAATTGAGGGTGGAGACCTACAGCAGGACAGGATGGCCAAATGATCAAATTCCCTTCAGGATGGCCAGATTCCACTCTGTGTGGTTTCCATATCCAAAATATCAGTCTGATCATTGAATACAGTATGTCCCACAGTGTCCTCAATGTGTATTTACATGATAACTATTGCTGTCTATGGTTTTAAAGGAAATGGTTTAGACATACCACAGTGAACATGTGCATTGCTTGCTGTTTCATGGGCAATGGTGTTTTTCTTCAAACAAGTTATTGTACAATTCTGTTATTTAGACAATTTGTATACATTATTCTAATTGGGGAACGTGTCTGGTGAATGATCCTTAAGTTGGAGTGCTACACTGAGTCCACAGACACTGTTAGTATGCAATACATATTATACACTGAGTATACAAAACATTAAGAACACCTGCTCTTTCCATGACATAGACTGACCAGATGAATGCAGGTGAAAGCTATGATCCCTTGTTGATGTCACTTGTTAAATCCACTTCAATCAGTGTAGACGAAGGGGAGGAGATAGGTTAAAGAAGGATTTCTAAGCCTTGAGACAATTGAGACATGGATTGTTTATGTGTGCCATTCAGAGGATGAATGGGCAAGACAAAAGATTTAAGTGCCGTTGAACAGGCTATGGTAGTAGGTGCCAGGCGCACCGGTTTGAGTGTGTCAAGAACTGCAACGCTGCTGGGTTTTTCACGTTCAACAGTTTCCTGTGTGTATCAAGAATGGTCCACCACCCAAAGGACATCCAACCAACTTGACACAACTGTGGGAAGCAGTGGAGTAAACATGGGCCAGCATCCCTGTGGAACGCTTTCAACACCTTGTAGAGTCCATGCCCTGACGAATTAAGGCTTTTTCTGAGGGCAAACGGGAATGCAACTCAATATTAGGAAGGTGTTCCTAATGTTTTGTATAACTCAGTGTGTATGGACCAGTAAGATTGCTAATTCACCATTAAACTTGAAACTAATGATTGGGTAAGAAGCAGACACTTACAGTGCCTTGTGGAAGTCCCCTTGCACAGCTGTCAAATGTTGCTAACTTAAAGGGATAGTTCACCCAAATTGCAAAATGACATATTGGTTTTCTTTCCCTGTAAGCAGTCTATGGACAAGGTATGACAGCAATCCATGCTTTGGTTTTGTTTACCTGGCCACTATTTAAAATGCTAACCTTTTAGCAATTCTGACACAAATCTAATGCAAATTAATGGTACCTATAATTATTAGCATTTTCATGCATCATGTCCAAATCATCCTAAAGTATCTAAAAATGGATTGTGTAACTCAATAAAGTTACTTATAGATGATTTTGACATGAAGTGGGAAAATGCTAATATAGGTACCTCTGACTTGCATTGGATTTGTGGAAGTTACTCTGTGTAGCTTCCACAGTTAGTGTGAATCAGCTCACCACTAAGACTACACACAAACTCTGGCTCTATGAAGTCCTTCTGGCAGGTCTTGCACACCAGACCCTTATCCACTTTCAGCATTATTTTTGAGCCTTGGGCCTGAGGGGACAAGAGATGGATGTCAACTCAATGCATAACATGCATTGATAAAATTTTGTGCATTATCAACTTGTGCATTATGAATACCTGAAGATTCCCATTATAAATAAAGCAAGTGCATCCCTGTGAAAATGTTGAGGCACGTGCTCACCCAAGTGTACTTGTGTCTAAGGAGTTCGACCTGGGCCAGGCCTCTTTCTACCCCTCCCATTCGTCTTTGATGGAAAGTCTCTCTAAGGGACCCCAACAGGAACTGGGAGACCAGCTGAACAGACCAGGAATCCGGCAGAACCTGGAGGACTCTTTCCAGGTCAAAGGCAGCAGCATTGGCATTCAACAGGTCCACAGCTGCACTCGCTAGCTCATTGGAGCCCAGGTAGATCTGGAGCAGGGTGAGGAAAAGGGTGTGTTCCAGTTCCCGTCCCTGCCATACAGCAGCCCTCCTGCAGTAGGCCCCTGCAACCTGCAGGTCTCTCTCTTTGTGGACCAAGGTCTGTAGGGCCTGATAGTGGTTACCATCTCTCCCAAGCAGGATGGCCTGCTCTATGTGCAGGGCTGTCGGCTGGATGGCCTCTGTAATATCAGTCATACTTATATTATTATAAAACACTAATCACAGACACTATTCAATCTAACCTGGGAATCAGGTTTCCAGAGAGAAGAAATAACTAATATTGTTACTGTGGAGCAAATTAGCAAGTGTGAATGAATATGAAGTTTAGCAAGCTACATAAATCCTAATGAATATGGAGTTTAGTAAGATATATAATTCTTAGAGTGCAACATGAGTAATAATTATATTTATCTTGCTAAGTAGTTTTGATTAAATAGTTATGTGACTAAGGATTTCCTACATACATTAAGCATGATACATTTTCATATGACTCACATACCATGTACTGTCATGGTGTCATAGAGGGAAGACTGCCACAGCAACTGTTGCAGTTTATCTCTGGTCATTCTTCCATCTGAATCAGTACCATTTCCTTCCTGTAAGGCTCTGAGTATCTGGGTGACATATGCTGTGGCCAGAAGGGTATGATGCTTCTCCTCCTGAGAAATGATAAAAAGAGGGGGGATACAAATATGTGCCTTTATTTAATTTCAAACAACAGTTTATTATGGGTAAAAATGGTGTGGTGCTATTGATATACTGGTGGTACCAACCTCGCTTTTCAAATCATAGACCAAAAATTCCAGGAACAACACCAAAGCTAGAGAGTACTTCTTTAAGAAAGTGAGGACATCCTCCTGTGCAAATGTGTCTTGGTCCTCTGGATGTCTTTTTGTGAAAATCTGTATTCCAACCTTAAAAGTTACAGTACAGAAATGTCACTAAAATAGGTCAACATGAGGTTTAGTTCCAATCAAATAATGATGTTATTTATTATAATCATATTATTTAAAACTTTTTCTTCATATAACTCTGTCCTCTACAGTTGAGCTATATGGATTACTCGGATACCTCCTGGTTTCTTTGTAGAGCCCAGTCTGCAAACGTCCAGACGACGTCTCTCTGTTTTAGTCGACTGAGAGTTCTCACAATGTGCTCATACACATTTGAGCATGAGCTGTCTTCATGTTGCCCATCAGTAATTTTCACCCAAGTCTGCAACATCATAAGGACATTAAGTTCTACCAGGAGTCTACCAGGCCAAATAACGTTTGTGATGACAGTCCTTTTACACATCATATTTTCAGTATGGTCTGAAGTCCAAATTTAAGCAGAAACTACATTAGATCATTGATCACTGTCTTATAACACAAAGATGGTACAAAGTATGATACAAAGAATATGCAATCGATTAGACTGATTAAAATAAATGCAAATCATATTTTTATTGCATGCTAACGTCCAAGATTACCTGGATTGCTTTGATATGGTGACCATGACTCTGATAGAGTAATCCAAGTGTGAAAAATCTGAGATGATAGTATAATGAAATTATTGCAGTATTATATGTAACAAAACATTGCAAGATTCAAATATGTTGTTCTCAGTTTACACTGAACAGCTACCCATTCTCACCTCTTGTGCAGCTCAAGGAGAGGCACACATTTGTCGATTGAGCAGGAATTGGGAGAGGACACAAGCTCGTCCAGGTCTTCTCTGTCACCTTGCTCTGTGTATATTCTCAGTTGTGCATTATCGATATCCTCACTGCACCCAACTCCTTGCTCCGTCCCTCGAACCACCTTTAGGAAATCGCCCAGGAAGTCTAGATACTGTTGAAATGTGGTCCTGTCCTCTTGTCGTAGAGCCAATAGCTCCTTTGCATTGTTCACTTTGACCAGCTGGGACTGAAAGGTCTCACTGAGTGGTTCCATCTCTGGATACAAGCTGATGATTTCTCTAGGGTCCAACTCACCTTTGCTGTTGAAAACAGGAATGAATAATGAAACATTTCAACAGACAGCAGAACTAATAATTCAAACTGTTATAACCTAGCAATAAATAATGCTAGTCATATGATCTACTTTTACTATTGTTTAAGGTAGTTTCCTTAAATTAGGGGTCCATACTGAAAATAAGATGTGGAAAAGGACTGTCCTCACATAAAAAGTTCTTTGGCCTCTGAAAAAGACTCCTGGTAGAACTTAATGAATCCAGCCATGCAAGTGATGATCTTATGCTGCTCCTGTCAAATCAAATACAACATTTGTCAAATCAAATAATATCACTTATCTTCTTAGATTTGGCACATATTTCATATAAGCATATTTTAAATCAATTTATTTTTCTCAAGTCACTGGGGCTGAAGGTAATGTGTTTGCAGTTAAATCTTAAGAGCAATACGTTATGTCTAAATGTAGTACCCACAAACCCAGATTTCAAAGCTTTCGAGACAGACAAAGTATAATGAATAAGTCATGAACAGAAGGCATATTCAGTCAAGAATCCTCAATTCAACCCTTGACCTATAACTTGAGAATCTACCATGATTCCAACAAATCTCTGAAACATCTGTTGCCTTGGTGCATGCTGCATTTCATCATACACCTCCATGTGCAGCTCAATAACTGATGAACATGATTACCCTGATGAAATATGAAATTCATATACCATGTTATGGTGGTATTCATATTTATGCTGTCTACACATCAGTTATAAAGCTCTAATATAGAATAAGGTTCTGATGCAATTTTGAACTTTTAGTCCTGGGGATTAGGCTATTGTATATGTGAATAGTTGGATTCGTTTTTGTCTTTCTTTTCTAGGATGGAAGAGTCAAGGAATATGAGAGATTAATCATCTGTTCAACTGTTTATAATGTGTGTTTTACTTTGTAAGAACCCTTGGGTACGAGAGCTTGCTTTGTCTGTGTTTGACTTGCCTGCCTGGCCTGAGTCCTTTCATTTTCAAAGTCATAACCAGGTTTGATTAATTACGTTAGAGTTGCAGTTCTAATTCTTGGTGTTCAGTTAGGCAATTTTATTCAGAGTCAAAAGGAGATCTTGTTTACTGTTGGTGATTACCTTGTAAGAAACATGTGAAAGACGAGCTTGAACTCCACCAAGCAGTACCAATGCCTCCTCCACTCGCTCACACCTTACAAGGGCTTGGATCTGCTCTTCAAATGGTACATGGGACAAACCGAGGATCTTTCTCTCCATAAAAATGTACACACCCTCTAAAGAGAGGATAACATTGATATGATCTGACAGAATCCCAAAACAGAGTATTCGAACCAAAGTGGAAGTCACAGTATGCCAACAGTATGACAACATAGCATGCAGAATGACCACAATTAAACATTGTCATGAGCACTGACTGACTGACTGAATGAATGAAATGAATAAACATTAAAATGTGTTATTGGTTGGCAGCTTGATTGGTTCGTTGGTACCATACACTGTAAACCATTTCCTGTTGTTTTTACGGTACTTACAGGCAATTGCCTGTAAGTTACCGTAGAAAAAGGTACAGTGTTACCGTACTGTATTTTACAGTATTCAATACCATTACTGTAATCTTTTTTTTACTGTTTTTTTTTACGGTAACTTACCGGCAACTAGCTGCCTGTAAGTTACAGTAAAACAACAGTACAGTGCATTACAGTGATCGTATTATGGTAATTGTAATGAATTAATGAATTAATTAATGGGTTGATTAATTAATTAATTGAATTCATTGAGGGTAGATGGGGTTTGTATTTTACAGTAATTACATCGGATTGCTCAAGCAGGTTGGCTGCTAGGTAATGTGCTTACATATTACAGCATATCAATGAATGCCAGTTTGGAAGCCTTTGTCTCCAGAAATGCAAGTGATATAAGACCACATGTTGGTATTTTACATCACTTGCACTTCTAGAGGACTTAACAAAGGCTTCCAAATAGTGACTACAGGGCTAAACAGACCAAAGGACATGTCAAATACTCAACCATTATAGGTTTAAGACTTGCGGGAACTCCAATATCTCGCTTATATACATTTAATTGATAGGACACTACTACCACATTTCAGTTAAATTGGTGCAGCATTCTCACTAATGGGTGGCACAAATATAGACTCTTACAAGGCATGCCTCAAAATATGTTAATAAGCCAGAAACAACAATAACATGCACCCAATAGTGGTCAAAAGTTTTTTGGCGCTCCAAAAATACTGTACGGTCTTTTTTCTGTGGGGTGGAAGTTACAAGCCATTAAATATTTCTTATTTTAAAGGATGTACTTTGATTTTGTCGACCTTGTGCTTTTGTGTGACGTTATATTTTGAAAATTCAGAAATACTGTAAGTGAACTGCTACTGTATTTTACGTAGCATATTTTATAGTAAAGTCCAAAATACATCAAATATTACAGTAATGTCCAAAATACATCAAATATTTCCCGGCCGTTGAATATTTTCTCACAATGCAATGTAATTTACGGTAATCTACTGTATTCATTTTATACGGTATGATCAATCAATCAATCAATTTTATTTTATATAGCCCTTCGTACATCAGCTAATATCTCGAAGTGCTGTACAGAAACCCAGCCTAAAACCCCAAACAGCTAGTAATGCAGGTGTAGAAGCACGGTTCTGATACTGTTGATTATACAATAATTTACCGGGATAATAACAGGATGGTTTTACAGTGTACCTGTTGTTGAGAGTAGGCCCTTGGCTCTAAGCAGAGGCACAGTCTGTTTGAGCTGCTGATCCACCATACTGTAGACATAGAGAGCCTGAGGCTGCAGGGCCAAAATGTAGGGGTAACACACCACCGCTGCCAACAACCCCTCAGACCACTGCACTGGAGGCCGCTGGCATATGCCATTCTTCATGACAAACACGCCTGTGGCAAAGAAACGATAGTACATCTATACAACAAATATCCTATAGATATGTAAACTGTACCAACCAACACTTTATTTTAAATAACACATATTAGCCACTCATTTTGTAGTTTATAAGTATATCTTACAGTAAATGTGTAAAAACAGGAAATCTATAAATTTCCCACCAGTGGATTTTTATCCTTCTGTGTTCACTGCCGTCATGAACGGTGATATGAACATGCCAAATTATTTATTATAAGCTACTAGTATGTAATTGTTTATATTATGTACAGGTACAGAGCTTGACTATAAAATCTGACAATGTAGCTGTCTATAAGGTGTCTGTGTCAGATGTGTTTGTCCAAAGGCATTCTTTTGAAGGGCACAGAGCATGTGCTGCATGCGAGTGTAATTGTTTTCACGACAATAGCTCTTACCCAAGGAGCCGGGCCCATTTAAAAGGAATTCCCCTTTTCCTGCGGTGCTCACAATTATATTCTGCCTGCTCAGGTTGTGAGGGAAGAGATCAACGGTGCTCCCACTCTTGTGATCATGGAGGAAATACCTGTCACTGGTAGCCACACACAAAGTGGTATCATCCACAGCTAAGGCCACAGGGTCCTGGGGTAGAGACACCTCTTTAACACAATCCCATCTCTCCACCCCCACGACATGGATCCGGACCACTCTGCTCCTGCTAGAGGTTGTCACCAGCTCCACACACACAGACTGCGATGAGGTTGACAGTGCCGATTCACACACCTTAAAGAAAGACACGTGTTGGATCCGCTTCAGCGAAGGAAGGGGTTCTAGGGAGAACATGTTGAGGGCGCTAACGGAATGGTCCCACAGAACCAGAAGGTGATTGAGAACTGGTATCACCTTTAATTGGGTGACTGGGCTGCTTGAACCTAGCAGTTTCGCCCTCCCTTCCCGAGGACATTGACTGGAGTCCTTTGGGTCACTGGTGCTGGGTAGGATAAGGTGTTGGACCAATGAGTCTTTGGTTCCAATGTATATATTTCTGTCATAACACTCCAGGCTATGGATGCTGAATTTGTATTTTTCTTTAGGGGTGGGAGGTTTTTCATAGACTTGCACTTGAGTGAAGGCTTTCAAACTCATTGCTACTGCATTTGTTGATGTATGCTGATGCTGTTCTCGATATTTAGAAGGTTAGAATACCCAAAACAAAAAATAAAGCAAAAATGTTTTAATCAATGATCTACAACTGAACACAAAAAAGTTAAAAATGGAAATGTAGTTCACCAACGTTGTCACAACGTTGTAACACAGACAATAATGCAAATCTATCATCAAATGAAAAAGTATATTCACAGGGTTTAGATGAATATCTATTCTGATTTATTCTAATAAATTGTCCCTACCTGATGTTGTGTGGTTAGTTTCCTTCGCTGAGTGTTAGAAATCCCTTCTCATCTGAAGTGTAGTTTGACCTCGTCATGTGACTCCCATCCTGAGAGGAAGTCTGTGTCAGCATTTTACACCACTTATTCTCAACCTAGGAATACATGAGTCACAATGCCACCACAAGTTAAACCATAAAACCGTTTTTACAAGGATGAAAACAATCTATGTGTTGAGGAATTATATTTTGAGGTGCCACAAACCTTAAAATGAGTAGTGGTGTTTGGTTCTGAATAGACCAGAGAGAAGGTTTGTGGTCAGTGGACAATGTGTGAGGAAACAGTAGGTGAACATTCAGTATCAACTGGGGTATGTTTAGTAACGCGCAACAATCAAAATGTTATAGACATGTAAAAAGGCCTTTCTGTAATATTGGAAAGCAAGTGTTCTTTCGATATGTAATGTTTATTTGAAAAGTTTTTCAGCCTTTTAAATAAGCCTGAGAGGACTTACAACTTCTCTACGTACAGTATGTACTGTGTCTATTTTCCTGCAAGTATAGTGCAATGTGTGTGACCTGACATAATTGGTTACATCCTCTGGATGGCGCCATTGCTACAGGTTTCTTACCAGAAACAGTCGTCAAAATCTTCAGTACAAGAGACAAAAGACATGACCCCACACTACTTTCTATTAATTAAGGTAAAGCAGTGTCATTCATTTAACACAACAGATACATTCAATGTTAGGCATTCATAAAAGATTGTCACCTTATTCAAACAACTATTACATCGATGTGAATAATGATGAACACATATAACATGCAAACAGCACAGACTAATGTGCCAACAAAATAATTGGTGTCAACTACACCACTTTGTCATTTACATTTATGTCATTTAGCAGACGCTCTTATCCAGAGTGACTTACAGTTAGTGAGTGCATACATTTTTTTTTTTTTTTTTTATACCCCCCGTGGGAATCGAACCCACAACCCTGGTGTTGCAAACGCCATGCTCTACCAACTGAGCTACATCCCTGCCGGCCATTCCCTCCCCTACCCTAGACAACGCTGGGCCAATTGTGCGCCGCACCATGGGGTCTCCCGGTCGCGGCCGGCTACGAAAGAGCAGGGATCTCTAGTGGCGCAGCTAGCACTGCGATGCAGTGCCTTAGACCACTGCGCCACTCGGGAGTACAATTTAGATTATCACGAGTTAAATTATTCTGTAAATTATACATTTCACTTGGCATATGATTCTATTTCTTCTCTTGAAAAGGGACGCTACAGGTGGACACCAAAAACTTCTCTCCTCACAAACATCACACTAGCAAAGAAATAACAAAAGGTAAATATTGTGACCATCTGCTGAGGTCACTTCTTGCTGGGTAGGGATATGTTGTGGTGTTTCAATATACAGTGGTGTGAAAAAGTGTTTGCACCCTTCCTGATTTCTTATTTGTTTGCATGTTTGTCACACTTAAATGTTTCACATCAAACAAATTTTAATATTAGTCAAAGATAACACAAGTAAACACAAAATGCAGTTTTGAAATGAAGGTTGTTATTATTAAGGGAAAACAAAATCCAAACCCACATGGCCCTATGTGAAAAAGTGATTGCCCCCTACAACCTAATAACTGGTTGGGCCACCCTTAGCAGCAACAACTGCAATCAAGCGTTTGCGATAACTTGCAATGAGACTTTTACAGCGCTGTGGAGGAATTTTGGCCCACTCATCTTTGCAGAATTGTTGTAATTCAGCCACATTGGAGGGTTTTCGAGCATGAACTGCCTTTTAAGGTCATGCCACAGCATCTCAATAGGATTCAGGTCAGGACTTTGACTAGGCCACTCCAAAGTCTTCATTTTGATTTTCTTCAGCCATTCAGTGGTGGACTTGCTGGTGTGTTTTGGATCATTTTCCTGCTGCAGAACCCAAGTTCGCATCAGCTTGAGGTCACGAACAGATGGCCGGACATTCTCCTTCAGGATTTTTTGGTAGACATCAGAATTCATGGTTCCATTTATCACAGCAAGTCTTCCAGGTCCTGAAGCAGCAAAACAGGCCCAGACCATCACACTACCACCACCATATTTTACTGTTGGTATGATGTTCTTTTTCTGAAATGTGGTGTTACTTTTACGCCAGATGTAATGGGGGACACACCTTCCAAAACGTTCAACTTTTGTTTCGTCAGTCCACTGAGTATTTTCCCAAAGGTCTTGGGGATCATCAATATGTTTTCTGGCAAAAATGAGACAAGCCTTAATGTTCTTTTTGCTCAGCAGTGGTTTTCGTCTTGGAACTCTGCCATGCAGGCCATTTTTGCCCAGTCTCTTTCTTATGGTGGAGTCTTGAACACTGACCTTAACTGAGGCAAGTGAGGCCTGCAGCTCTTTGGATGTTGTTGTGGGGTCTTTTGTGACCTCTTGGATAAGTCTTCGCTGCGCTCTTGGGGTAATTTTGGTCGGCCGGCCACTCCTGGGAAGGTTCACCACTGTTCCATGTTTTTGCCATTTGTGGATAATGGCTCTCACTGTGTTTCGCTGGAGTCCCAAAGCTTTAGAAATGGCTTTATAACCTTTTCCAGACTGATGGATCTCAATTACTTTCTTTCTAATTCGTTCCTGAATTTCTTTGGATCTCGGCATGATGTCTAGCTTTTGAGGATCTTTTCGTCTACTTCACTTTGTCAAGCAGGTCCTATTTAAGTGATTCCTTGATTGAGAACAGGTGTGGCAGTAATCAGGCCTGGGTGTGGCTAGAGGAATTGAACTCAGGTGTGATAAACCACAGTTGAGTTGTGTTATAACAGGGGGGGCAATCACTTTTTCACACAGGGCCATGTAGGTTTGGATTTTGTTTTCCCTTAATAATAACAACCTTCATTTCAAAACTGCATTTTGTGTTTACTTGTGTTATCTTTGACTAATATTTAAATTTGTTTGATGATCTGAAAAATGTACGTGTGACAAACATGCAAACAAATAACATATCAGGAAGGGGGCAAACACTTTTTCACACCACTGTATATTCTGTAGTAGTATGATTCGAGTGTGGAGTGACCATTTGCTGGATTGTTACAAGGTCATAAGGTCGTGACCTCCCCAGTGAGGTCACTACTCTCTAACGCAGTCAGTGCACAGGATGTTGTTGTGCTGGGTGAGGAAGCCACGGCCCACCAGAGACACGGAGCAATGCATGCAGGTGAAACACTCGCTGTGCTACTGGGGCTCCTCAAAGGAGATGTACTTGGCTCCTGCCAGACCTGCCACACAAGGACACACAGATTCAGACACATATGTGCACACATGTTAACACACCTACTGTATGAGCACAGCACACCATGCAGAATAATGCATGCATAGACACACACAACACACATACACACACACGCACACAGACACACAGACTCACACAAGTACACACATATGATGTTACAAACACAAACACCAAGAGACAACATGTGATTGCATGGCATAAATAGAGAATATTCATAGAAAACCGTAGCCTGAAGGGTGAGAAAATGAATGACGATATTCGTAGAGTAACTCACTGGTGATGGGTTTGGTGCAACCCACACACTTCTTGGTATAGAGGTTGCTAAAGAAGTCCAGACAGTAGGGATAGTTCTCTCTGGAGGTGAGACCCTGTCCTGATGGCTGCTTCTTACAGCCGATGCACTCACAGTGCCAGGATTTGTCAATGTAAGTAACCCCACCAGTTGTAATGGCCTTAAGGCAGCATTTCTCAAACTAGGGTTTGCGAGAGAAACTCAGAAAAAAAATTGCGCTTGGTTCATAGAACCGGGGTTATGTCAGTAACATCCGGTAGCGGTTGTAATAAACAGAGAGGTTTCTGTTTTCTTCCAACAAATGTGGCCCTATCTTTTGAACCATTTAAGCTAGAACATATTATGACCCCATCTCTGAAACATAAGACTCTCAGGAATACCGTGCAATGACTCATAAGAACAGAGTGGACAAGACCAGTCACTAAATCAGACTGTGGGAAAAAAAGCACATCAAAGATGATGTTCTTTTCTACACAGAAAATCATACAAAATTACTGCATGATGGTCTTCTGAACTTCCCAATACCTTACTGATGCATTTCAGTCACTTCAAACCATACTTCCTTCAGATTGAAATAGTGTCAAAAGTACTGTCAGACTGATTTGAAATAGACTGTCATAGCCCCAATTAATAGTGGCTGTTGATTACATCACTTTTTTTACATGGTGGGGTCGCATTTTTTTTTTTATATCAAAAAGGGGTCACGGGACAAAAAGGTTTGGGAACCCCTGCCTTAAGCAGACACACACACATACATAAACACTGAGTGTACTGAACACATGCTCTTTCCATGATATTGACTGACCAGGTGAATCCAGGTGAAAGCCATGATCCCTTATTGATGTCACCTGTTAAATCCTCTTCAATCAGTGTAGATGAAGAAGAGGAGACAGGTTCAAGAAGGATTTTTAAGCCTTGAGACAATTGAGACATGGATTGTGTATGTGTGCCATTCAGAGGGTGAATGGGCAAGACAAAATATTTAAAAAGGGGGTGCAACTCAACATTAGGAACGTGTTCCTGATGTTTTCTATAACTCTAAAGTCTATATGAAACAGACAGGGACACATGTTTCTAGTGTGCTGCTTATACAGTATGTAGGGTATCCAGATCCTACAATATTATGTCAAATGTAAATAAAAACTTTTAACAGAACACTCGCTATTTAACATACAGTC